CCAAGTTTGTTCTTGGGAGGGCAGAACTTTAGCAAAAAAAGTGCGTTCTTGGTATTGATAAATGCCCCATCTATCTTGTATTCTTGTCCAATTATTATGCATTATGGATCAAGATGAACATTTGTTCTGTCCTTCATGATGTGTGGAAGCTCCATCTTGGACCCCCCTGGTTTCCACCCACAGGCCTTCCTGGATGCTCTGCAGAATCAGGCTGAAGCCAGCAGCTCCATCATTGGCCAGTTTGGCGTAGGCTTCTACTCCACCTTCATGGTGGCCAACCGCGTGGACGTCTACACCCAGTCTGCAGAGCCCGGCAGCCCTGCTTACAAGTGGTCTTCAGATGGGTGAGTGAGGCAGTGGGGCCAGAGCAGGGGGCAGGATCATGGTGGGGGTGCGTGGGGGCAGTAGTTTTTCCTGAGTCTAATGGAGCAATGAGACAACTGTCCTCCCTCCCTTAGCTCAGGGGTGTTTGAGGTCACTGAGGCCAGCGGGGTGAGACCCGGGACCAAGATAGTTCTGCACCTCAAAGACGACTGCAAGGAGTTCTCCTCTGAGGACTGTGTCAAAGGTGTGGGAGCTGGGGGGCATGGGGGGGCGAGTGATGGGGTATGGGGCTTCTGAGGGTCATGGTTCATGTTCACGGAAACTAATGCTCTTGCCTCTCTTCTGCAGAGGTGGTCACCAAATACAGCAACTTCGTCAGCTTCCCCATCTTCCTGAATGGGCGACGACTCAACACCCTGCAGGTGGGCGTGGTGTCTGCAGGCTGGGGGGGTTTATCCTGGCACTTTACTCCAAAGGAACAGGCATTGCTGCCCTGTTAATATGCAGCACTTTCTTTGGGATAAATTTCTCAGTCCGTAGGGTTTGTTGGACCTCTTGTCGGATTAAAAATCAGGATTTGCAGAGTAATAGTCAAAGGGAAGCTGGCACAGGTGTGCGTGCGTGCATGTGCGTATGTGTGCGTGCGTGCGTATGCGTGCGTGCGTATGCGTGCGTGCGTATGCGTGCGTGCGTATGCGTGCGTGCGTATGCGTGCGTGCGTATGCGTGCGTGTGTGCGTGCACCCTGTGACATGTCGCAGCCTCGTTCCCCAGGCCCTGTGGATGATGGAACCCAAAGACATCAGCGAATGGCAGCACGAGGAGTTTTACCGCTTCATCGCTCAGGCGTACGACAAGCCGCGCTACACGCTACACTACCGCGCAGACGCGCCCCTCAACATCCGCAGCATCTTCTACGTGCCCGACATGGTGAGTGTGTGATGGCGGTAAGGGGGGGGGGCGCGGTTGGGGGGTGTGCCTGGGCTTACCGCGTCAGTCCTGTCTACAGAAACCCTCCATGTTCGACGTGAGCCGGGAGATGGGCTCCAGCGTTGCCCTGTACAGCCGCAAGGTTCTGATCCAGACCAAGGCCGCCGACATCCTGCCCAAGTGGCTGCGCTTCCTCCGCGGTCAGTACTGCTCCATCTGCTGCTGCTTTGGGCTTCATCCACCTTGTGGTTTCTTTGCTCTACTCTGCCACACCGTTGCTCTGTTCTCGTCTCCTGCGTGTAGGTGTGGTGGACAGTGAGGACATCCCCTTGAACCTGAGCAGAGAGCTCCTCCAGGAGAGCGCCCTCATCAGGTGAGGAGTGGAATTTCAGGACGCTCGCACTGAGCTTATAATGATCATGTATTTGACTTAACTGTCTTTTCTCGGGTAGTGTTGCCCAGGCAGGGGGCTTCACTTTCTGGGCCCTCCTATTTCCTGTTGACCTCTGACCCCTCTGTCCCCTCTCCAGGAAGTTGCGGGACGTCCTGCAGCAGCGTGTGATCCGGTTCCTGCTGGACCAGAGCCGCAAGGAGCCGGAGAAATACGCCCGCTTCTTTGAAGACTATGGGCTCTTCATCAGGGAAGGCATAATCACTACAGGCCAGCAGGATGTCAAGGTAGCGTGGGGCAGGGGGGCGGAGCCCCTGTCAGAGGGCTAACATAGGCCTGTGTGTCACCCCGCTGCCGTCTCGCTCATCCGCGGACAGGAGGACATCGCCAAGCTGCTGCGGTTCGAGACCTCTGCGCTGCCGGCCGGCCAGCAGACCAACCTGCAGGAGTACGCCTCGCGCATGAAGGCCGGCACCCGCAACATCTACTACCTGTGCGCCCCCAACAGGCACCTGGTGGAACAATCACCCTACTTTGAGGCCATGAAGAAGAAGGAGATGGAGGTGCGTGTGTGTTTGTGCTTGGAAACGGGGGTTGTTCTGGCTGCTCCTTGGGATGACTCTGGGGTGGGATGCCATTTGCTTTCTGTGTCCCGTAACCAGAATACAGTCCAGCTGTGTACGCGGGCAGAATCCTCATTGGTTTGGATGTAATAAAAATAAAACGTACCCACGCGCCCCCCCCCCCCATGGTAAACACCTTTCCTTTCCCAGGTGCTCTTCTGTTACGAGCAGTTTGACGAGCTGACGCTGCTGCACCTGAGGGACTTTGACAAAAAGAAGCTGATATCTGTGGAGACTGACATCGTGGTGGATCACTATAAGGAGGAGAAGTTTGAGGACAGCAAACCGGGTAGGGCGGCGGCTCTGTGGCTTATTAATGCCGCACGGCTGAGAGGTCACTGCCTGCGGCTGCTGATCATCACATGTCTTCACCTTTGCCGTAGCTTCTGAACGTCTGACGGAGGAGCAGTCCAACGACTTGATGGCCTGGATGAGGAACGTGCTGGGTCAGAGAGTCACCAACATCAAGGTACCTGCACTGCCTTCTGCCCAGGGCCAGTGATGTGACCAGTCCTGTCCCTTGGAGATCCCGCTGGTAGCTGCGGTCGCTTATCTTACCCGTCTCTCCTCCTCCATAGGTCACCCCCCGCCTGGACACGCACCCAGCAATGATCACAGTCCTGGAGATGGGCGCTGCCCGCCACTTCCTGCGTACTCAGCAGCTGGCCAAGAGCTCCGAGGAGAGGGCTCAGATCCTGCAGCCCACCCTGGAGATCAATGCTGGGTGAGAGGGAGGAGTCACAAGGGCTGTATCCATGGAGACAGGGGGTGGGGGCAGTGAACGAAGGTGGGAAGGATGATTTATAGGGTTAATGGGTAAGGTGAGGGTCCATTGCATAATGATGTGTGGTTAGGGTTAACTCATGGGATGTGGAAAGTGGACAGGGTGGTTGGAGAATGTTCCCTTGTGAAGAATTGGGGAGTGTGATTTCATCGGCTCCGCTGTTCTGGTTGCGCGGAGTCCCACTGCACTCGATAACCAGCCCTAAGTAGAGTTTGTGGAGATAAGCGTTCTCCTGACCCCTTCCTTGCCCCTGCAGTCATAGCCTCATCAAGAAACTCAGCGAGCTGAAGGACTCCGACACGGAGCTGGCCCAGCTGCTGCTCGAGCAGGTACAGTGGCACGCTGCTCCCTCAGGCTGCTGACCCACGCTCTCCCCACCCTCCCTCACTCTGCCCCGTGCTCCCTTACGCTCCTTCACCCTTAAGTTCCTTCGCGCTCCCTTACGCTCCTTCGCGGTCCCTTGCGCTCCTTCACCCTTAAGTTCCTTCGCGCTCCCTTACGCTTACGCACGCTCCCTTACACTCCTTCACCCTTAAGTTCCTTCACGCTCCCTTGCGCTCCTTCACGCTCCCTTATGCTCCCTTACACTCCTTCACGCTCCCTCATGCTCCCTTACGCTCCTTTGCGCTCCCTCATGCTCCCTTACGCTCCCTCATGCTCCTGCATGCTCCCTCTGCCTGATTTAAAGCAGTTGTGCAGATGAAGCATCATTCCCTGCATCCCCAGATCTATGACAACGCCATGATCACGGCCGGCCTCAATGATGACCCCCGACCCATGATCTCACGGCTGAATGACCTCCTGACCAAGGCACTGGAGCAGCGCTGAGGGCATTTATTACATCACTGTGGCCCTATTGGACAATGACCCCCAGCCCCCCCCCCCATCGTTTAGCCGGGCTGCTCCCCACGCAGTCCGTCATATTGCGGCCCCTCATGCAAACGACAATGGACTGGTGAAGCAGTCCCTCCAAACGACTGATTGCAAAGCTACTCAGATTTGTCTGCTTAAGGACGTTTAACAAAAATGGAAAACAAGTGTGACTGTGTAAATTGTAAATAAATAGGAAACCACCATTAAACTGTAACTCATAGTGAAGGATTTATCTGTTTGCCAGTATCTTAGCTGATATGTGCATTTTGGTCTTTCCTTCTGAGCTGTTTAAGTAGTTCTGGTATCAAATGTCAACTTAAGCAGGTTTGTTGTTAGATCCCTTTGGGATTTGTGGTTTTTTTGGACAGGGACACAGCTGAGGATTGTGGGAATTTGCGACGTGCATGGGCAGGTGGCCTTCCGCTGGCCCAAGTGTGTCTGCATGGTGTTCCAGGCAGCGTGTGCGTGTGAACTATCAGGTGTGGCGAGGTGATTGGTGAGATTGGGAATGCTACCGGAGCGGGCATGGGATGCGTTTCATAGAGAGGAGAGCTAATCAGTTTCATCACCACGATTAATGTCAACTTTGAAGAACAAGGGCAACAGGAAATATTTAAGTTCTATTTGTATCAAAAATGGCAAAACATTTAGGTACACTGAAAAATCCTGAGTCTTATTGGGAAAAGCAGGAGATCAGGAGAGTGATTAACTGACAAACATTTGTGTCCACATAGAAGCTGGAAAGCCCTCATGACAAGCGAGGAGTGTGTAAAGCTAGTGTTTGATGTGCGGATTTGTAGCAGATATAACCGTTTGTTGACAGTCTGGACAGTGGTGGATACTGAGAAGAGCAGATCGTGTGTAATTAACGTGCAACTCGTTGGCCAGCCTTGACCCAGAAGCATCAGATTACTACAGAATATAAACTTTAAATAGCTACTAATAGTGTGACGCATTGTTTGCTGCTGCTGGTTTTATGTAATGATTTAAAAAAAAAAAAAAAAAAAAAACAAGAAAGGTTACATGGAACAAACTGTACATCTGATCTGCTAGCGGGGAAAAAAAATCAAGGGGGCTTTTGAAAATAGTGTTTACTTTTAAAAATGATTCTCTCAGTAATACACATTTATTCTCAGCACAGTTAAGGACAGTTTGGCCGGATGCCAGTTGGCTGTTGGTTCCCGCAGGAGCCGTAACCTAAGGGTCAGAGTTCAGACAGCCAGGGCCTGGCAGGGGGGCAGGCGTGACAGCTCTTCTAAACTTCCCAACAGCTGCTGTTGCTCAACGTGGCAGGTTTGAGAAAGGTGCGTCTGCACGCCCTCTAGTGGCCATCGGGTGTCACCTTTCCACATCAGCCCTCTTTCACGCCAGGTTGACAATGTTGGCCAGGAATCGCTGTGCCCACCACTCCTCTAGATCGATAGGCACAAAGTCTAATTGACAAAATGAAAAGGAAAAAAAACGTGCAGAGTTAGCCACTCTGGTCACCGAAGTCGGTTAAAGGGAGACGCGCTGAACCCTCTCGCCGTTTCTGAAAGGAAGCAGACAGCCCTGAGAGTGAGACCAAGAGGAGGAAATAGAGATGGGTGTAGCAAGTGAGAGTGGATGGCTGAGGAACTCGAAGAGGGTGTTCTGTTCCCCGAGGTGTGACCAAGCAGCCGGAATTTCAGGCTAACGTCTTGGGTTCCCTGAGGATGCAAGTTCTGCTAAATGCTTCTATTGAGTTTCCTTTGTCTGCATAGAATAGAAGCATCATTCCCTAGCTGTCGTTTGTGTGCTCCATGCACAGGCCTCGTTTTACCTTTTATCTTAAGCAGGACTGTCCCGTGTCCTGTGATCTACTCAATCAGCACTGAAGGCTCTTTGTCTGATAATTAGCCAAATTGTGTTTTCTTTGCTTGTATCTTTGCCTCAGGGCTGCCTTGCTAATAGAAGACGGCTTCCTGGACTCGGTGACTGATGCGGATTTTTTATTTATTTTTTTTGCGCACACAGTGCCTCTAAACCTTCCATGTCACTCATGACCTTCACTCTAATCACAGATAAGGGCAAACAAAGGGTTATGTCGAGGTTTGTTAAGATTAGCATCAGCACCTTGGTCAGTCAGGATCAAGAGAACGTTGGAGGCCAGTATCAGGGTTGTGAAAACAGGGGTGAGAGTAACAGCCTGCAGTATTCTGTAAGTTATAAGGAAACCTAACTTACTAACGACTGTCAGCTCAGAACCTTAGGAGAGTGTGGATTGTGATTTTAGTGACATCAGGGCCAACGTCAATGATGGGGGGCAGAGGAAGAAGAAACAAGAATAAAATGAGCACAGATGGAGGGAAATGGGGGCGCAGGGGCAGGAGGTGGAGAGCTGAGGATGACAGGGAGAAAAGCAGCCACTCACTCTTCATGCTGGGGTTGGGGGTCTTCTCCGAGTACTGCACCGGCCCCTGGCCTTGCTCTGATTGGTTGCTCTCTCTCAGCTGCTGTTTTACTTCCTGCCAGGCTGGGGGAGGGGTGGGGCAAGGCGGACATGGTCATGTGACTGTATTGGGTTTGGTAAAGACATGCACCCAACACTTAGACACTTTCCCTAAGACAGACTCCTAGGAAGTTCTGCAGCCCATTAAAGGAGCGAGACTTATATTGGGGTAGGAATTTCATAGTGACAAACCATAATTAGTCTTATCAGCTACCAGGTGCAGGTTCCTTTAGTACTGCAGGGCCAAATGGTCCTTTATAGTCTAGGTCCAAAGCTGGAAGGTCTCGGAACAAAACTGGTGCCGCTCTCTGGCCTTTCGTGCAAATTTCTGAGGAAGGCTGTTGTGGAGAATCCACCTCACATTGTATGACCTTTGACCTACAACTGTTGTCCCTCTGTATTGTGGGCAGAGAGCCATCGGTGATCTGAGCACGATTAGAGTCCATTAGGGCGTATTTCACAAGTCCAGGCTATCAAAGTGTGCTTTGCTTCATACAGACTGCTGACATCAAAGGTGTCTCTGTGTTTGACGTTAGAAAGGCCAAACGCAACAATGATGTGCGTCTCCACCACGCTACCAAAGGGTATGTTTGCGTTCCTGTTGCCCTCAGACTTGATTTAATTGCCCCGCCTCCCCAATCTACTCAGTTTGGCTATTTCAGACTGTCTGCTGTCCTAAAATGCCCTGACTGAATATTGGCAAAGAGCAAGTCTGAAAAGAGGCATGTATAAATTTTCTTTAATATGCTTCTTAAAGGGGCATCCATCTGTTTTCTGTACCTGCTTGTCCTATGCAGGGTTATGGGGGCCCAGAGCCTATGGGCACCAGACAGGGAATAACCCAGGATGGGGTGCCACCTGATCACAGGGCACATTCACACCTACAGTCAGTCTGGTAACTCCAATTCACCTCAGCATGTTTTTGGATTGGGGGGGGCAGAGGACCCATAGGAAACCCCACAATGACACAGAGAGAACATGCAAACTCCCTACACTTAGACCTGGGGGGGGGGGGCTGATCACAGAGGAGTATGAGTAGTGCAAACCACCCTGCCCCCTACTCCGTAGCTGCTGTGACACTGGGTGACATGAATAATACTCAGCTGTGCTACAAACACGTAACTCTAGGGATGTGAGCAGCAGTGTGTCAACTACACTCTCAGAAAAAAGGGTACAGCCTTGGCACAGTTTTGTACCCAAAGGTACAATGTTTCCCATAGGTACCTTTAATTACAGCTAAGGGTATAACTGGCAGAACCTCAAAGGTACACATTGGTAGTGTTTTAATTGAAAGTGTATATATTCATTAAGTATTTCAAAAGGCAAGAGCTGAATGTAAGCTGAGAATCTTTAAGTTGTGCAATCCAAGTAAATAAGTGACATTTATTCAGCAGACATTTATGCAAAGCAACACGCGGTTGAGAAAGCAAGATCAGACGGTCCTTGGAGCAATCGGGGTTAAGGGCCTTCCTCAAGGGCCCAGCTGCGATATCACTGATCACAGGTGCAGCTAACTAACCTGCAGAGCCAGAATTACACGAGAAGCCCCTCCCCCCTTCCCCGGCACGCGGGGGCGGCGCCCACCTTCGTTGACGAACTTGACGTTCTCCTCGTGCGCCGCCGTGAAGCCCTCGTGCTGCTGCGCCGCCGCGCGGAGGTGCCGCTTCCCGTTCAGGGGCTGGAACACCGGCTTGGTTGGCGGAGAGCTGCGGCACGCGGGAGGTGAAGGGGCAAAGCTGTGACTGCACATTACCTATATACGCACACAAATGTTATGTCCTGAGCATTATTAAGATTAACTGCAAAAGATATATCTGAAAGCCAGAATGGATTCTTGTATTTCATATAGAAATATTATAATTTATGTAGAAGATGTTCAGATGTCCATTAACCATTTGTCTTACGTTTGCTTATATACACAAAGCTATCTAAGTTTGATGCATCTTTATATGAAACCTTAAGCCCGCATGAAACTCGCCGTGGTCGCTGTACTGCGGACAGAAAACCTGATTGGTTAAACACTTCGGGTTATAAAATTACTGCAGGTGAATTCAATACACAATAAATTTAAATCTGATGGTTTAATGTTCCGCACCACAGCAAATTAATATCGGTGATATAGCTACACGAGCAGAACGATGTAGTTAGTTAACGACGTTAGTAGAATATATAAAGCAGAGACACGTGATAGATTAGTGAATACGACGGCTTTAACTAAAACTTTGTAGTAGGTACATTATTATGTGTCTAGTATCCATGCGAAGAATTCTAACCATGTGATCTCTCCCGAAATACGGCGAGTTGACTGGTTACGTGGGGATGGCCAGTCAGACGTCTACCGACCAAGCACACTTTACTGTTCCCGTAACCTTGCTTCACTACAAGGTCACCCTTGGATTTCAAGACCATGTAAAAAGGCCGAAAACGTCCCGTCATCGGGCGTTTAGGAAATCTCTCCGGGATCGTGCTCTTTAAACTTTCCACGCGAAACTCCGCTGCTATGCAATAGCAAGACATGTGACTTCGGGGTCAAGATCGACACTGTCACAGGCGCACTGGGGGTGTAAGATCGCTTTAATCTCCAACCCAAAGCGGCACGTCTGCTGTCCGCACGTCGAGGGCACTTACTTTGTCAAAGCCCAAGCGCCTGATTTGATCTTAGCCTCGTTGAGTTTGCTGTCGATCTGCTGCGTGGGACCTGTGTGCGTTTGCAGAGGAATACAGCGGATCGCATGTGTTTTGTCACCCTGCGCACGGGGCAGTTACAATCCTCTCGCAGGTGGACAGTTAATAGGTAGTTGTTTTTGCTGTTAAGTAATAACAAGCAAGACAGTTTCATAAAGGTGACAAAGACATACCTGTTCTTCGCTGCGTAACAAATTTGCTGGGACCTCTGGTTATCGTGTACATCATGCGCTTTACGATGTACCCCGGCACTGGCCAATATCACACAGGAGAGTACGAAATTCCAACTGATCAAAATCAGAACAGCAAAACGATCAGATAGGGAGAAAAGAAACCGTAATTTGTATTTAAAAAGTCGAAATGGTTATAAAAGACTCCCCTCTGTCTATTTCTTCTTCACAGTCATTCAAAATGACGAAAAAAATCGTGACGGGTTGTAACACCTTTCCGTTAAATTGCAGCAGAACCGCAATAAAAAGCGATCCGTATGTTAAACTTCAGTCATCAGCGACAGCAGATCAGTAACTCCCTCTGTCGTGAAGCCGAAGTAGCACCGTCCGTCCGGATCAGCTTGGCTGGCAACTTCCGTCGTAAATTAATCATGTAGATGGCCGTGTAACCTGCATGCGACACAGGTCCGTCCCCGGACGATCGGTGCTAAGGTGTAACTTTGGGCGCTGTGGAAGTTATAGTGTAACGGGAGCGCAGTCGGGTCCCACAGACACTTCGCCGCTGACGCGCGCACACACCTCCATACGCTTAAAGGGGAAACGGCGGCCGGCGGGCCCGCTGCCCTTTCGCCTGCAGACCCCCGCCAGCCTGCGCTCAGGTGCCTCCTGGGCCACTTTGTTATCACTAGCAATCAGTATTATTAACCCCGGGCACAGTTTCTCTTTCATTCATTTGCCCTAGATATAAACTCGAAAAAAAATCTGTAAGAGTCTAGCGAGTCCCTGCTAAGTTGCGTAAAAGTAAGTGACCTTATGTTTGTATTGCAAAAAAAGAGGAGACGGGGGCAGGGCGCAATGCGAGGCGTCAAAGCAACGCGAATACGCACAAAAAGCAGTGCGGCAGTAGAAAGATGTCTCAATTAAACAAGCGAAATCCCGGACATTTCAGGCGTTTCTAGGTCCCAGAAAAAGAGGATGTATGGGCACCATTTACTGCACAGCAGCAGATACGGAGGGCGTAAGGAAAGGGCTTTCGGGCTGATTCTTAGCTTGCTTGATGATATTTAACCAGAACAGCAGAACTCAGTCACCCGACACGGTGGCTGCGGTTCTCGGTTACTGTGTAGCCTACTGATTTCTGTAACACAGTGCTTAGTTGTTTCTTTAATGAAATACCTACAATGGCACTGTTGAATGGTTACATTAGTTGTTGTTATTTAGGTTCTCTAATAAGCCCCAATTAAACGAATGGACAATAATTTGACAGTGATTTAAAATCTGATTTGTGTTGAGGTTACAAAATCCCCGAAATTGCGTTATTTTTGCCCTTATCGACATGCAAACACATGCCTGGAGCGAAAGGTTTTCATACCAAGACTATCAAACAACAAGCATTTTTTTGTAAAAAAAAAAAAAAAATCAAGCTTCAACATAGATTCATTCATAAAATGCACTGTCAGTGTCAATCTTTTAGTAAATTTACAATTATGGTCTATGGCTTCTTAAGGGATTTGTTCTGCATTCAACGCCAAAACAGATTTGTAGCGCTAACTGAACTTTTCACAGTTGCAGGTGGCCTAGCTGACCAGTTAGGCTACATATCAAATATTGAGACAAAAATCTTTTTTCCCCACAGTACACCATTTAATAACAATCTCATCAACATTCAAAACGATTCAGTTTTGCAGTGTCACGCAACACAAAATTTATTACTCTCAAAATAATTTGCCTTTCACACTGAAGCTTTCCACAGTTGTTGTAATGACACGCCCCCAACTCGGGGCGTAAAGAAAATCCCCACTGGTAAATACGACTTCGTAGACTTTCATGTGCTCTCTATTCGCATTCACGACCTTTCCGACCCGACTTCAATGCAGGGTTAAATATTTGTAGTATGTTACAAGATGTGACGTCACTATAGCCTTGTACTTTCAAAGAAATGTCGGGATTTTATCAGCGACGTTTAGTCGTGGTCAATGTTCACTTAATTCAATAGTAAGGTGTACAGGAAACAGTCAAACATAATTTTAAAAAAGTTATTTAATATTAAGAATAGTTTAAAACATACCCTGTTTAAGACACATTTCACCATGTTTAATTTTTTTTAAGTGTATTCCAAACGTTTATTTTTCCTGCAATCCAGCTGAAAAGTAGGACATTTCCATTTGTGAAATGCACAGTATGTGTTAGGTTGGCTTAGGAGAGACTGGTGGGCGTTTTCTCCAGCAAACACAGGGTCGCCGAAGAAGCCTGAGGAATTTCTTACTCTTATTGCTGCAGGCTTTTATTTCCTGCATCCTGATGTAAGGTGGGAGCCTCTGTGAACAGCACCTGACTCTCATTTGCTGTGTATCTGCAGTTATGGTGGAGCACCTGCACTGGGACTAACGGAGGTGATGAAGGGTGAGCCTGAGGGTCTCAGGCCGCGGAGTTTTAGCCAGAAGGCCAGGTTGTGTGGGCCTGTAATCCTGATGTGGGGGGAGCAGAGTGTGTGTGAGGCAGAGCATTCTGGGTAATGTGTGTTTGTGTGTGTATGTATGTGAGGCAGAGCATTCTGGGTAATGTGTGTTTGTGTGTGTGTGTGTATGTGAGGCAGAGCATTCTGGGTAATGTGTGTTTGTGTGTATGTATGTGAGGCAGAGCATTCTGGGTAATGTGTGTTTGTGTGTGTATGTGAGGCAGAGCATTCTGGGTAATGTATGTGTGTGCATGTTAACCCCTCCCCCCCACTCTCCGGGCCTCATCCTCCTGCCTTCCGCATGCTGATCTTCAGTAGGCAGCTTCACAGTCCTCCCTGAGGCTGTCAGTGAGGTAGCTGGCGTTCAGCACGTCCTGGTAGTACTGCTTCTCCACGGCTGTGTTGACGGTCCAGCCAATGAGCTCCACTCCGCGCTCGGCCCAGTACTTCACATAGTCCCTGAGGGCAGAGGTGAGGAGGAATGCGGGCGGAGTCACGTCAGGTCACAATGTCACATCTACGATTCATCAAAGAGGTTCAGCGCAACAGCACAAGCCTCCCCCTGATATTAATAAGCAGCTGTCTGGGTCACAATCACAGGGCTGTGGGAATGAATATATGGTGCCGTTCTGGGTGTACTAGGTAGACACAGTGGTTAAGGACACACACCTGCTGCAGCCATGAGTATGTTTACTGGGACAGTTCAGGATTCTTAATTACAGGCTGCTGCTTTGGACAAAAGCAACTGTCAGGGTTCAGAGTGAGGGATTGGCTGTAATACCAGAAACGCTGGGTAGGATGGGTTAGCTGTTGGTGTGAGCACAAGTGTGAGTGTGAGCAAGTGCTGAATGCGAGTATGAGTGCAAGTGTGAATGTGAGCACAAGTGTGAGTGTGAGCAAGTGCTGAATGCGAGTATGAGTGCAAGTGTGAATGTGAGTACGAGTATGAGTATGAGTACGAGCATGAATGTGAGAGCGAGTATGAGTACGAGCGTGAATGTGAGAGCGACTGTGAGTATGAGTGCGAGCTTTAGCATGAGCGTGAATGCAAGCCTGAATGTGCACACGCACGGGGAGATGACGCTCCGGTGCACCAGGAAGGCTGACACGCCACAGAGGTCCCACAGCAGGTGATGGTGAGCCCAGTCCAGCAGCACGTCCAGCAGCTGCAGCCAGTGGTACTTCCACGACGCGGAGAAGCGTGGCGTGCCGTCCTCCTGCTGGCTCAGCCTCCACGGCCGGTGGGTCAGCGCCGTCACCACCTCCGGGTCAGCCTGCCGCATCTGGGTCCGGAGAGGACAGGTGGGTACGGAATCACATGAATGTCTGAAAACTTGCACACTGCGCCACTGCAGGGGAACAAGAACTGATTGTATATGATGACCTCGTGCCTCAGAAGTGCCCCCCAGTGACCAGAACTGTACCTTGTAAATGACTTTGGGTTCAAAAGAGCAGACAATGCTGCTGTTGTAGAGAACTGGGTTGGTTCTGTACATCTCTCTCAGGACAGCGACGGCCTGCAGTGATGGGTGTGAGAAACGCAGCTTGTTAGCATGGCTGTCAAAGCGGAACCCCGATCGTCAGCTTCATTCATTGTCAGACCTGCTAGCTTTAGTCAAATCATTTAGGCGAAATCATTCTCGGCACACATTTGTGGCCGGGGGCGCGTGCGTCTGTCTTTGAAGCCTCATGTTTGTCAACAGCTGCATTACACAGATGGTGGCACAGGGCGGGGCACAGTGCATTGTGGGTACGGATTCCTTTCACGGTCTGAGCAGCCGTGCTGCTTCACATATTTGCCGTCGTTCCTGTGGCCCACTGGGGGAGTGAAGCCACTTTTGAGTCCCTAGTAAGTCCAGAAAGGGGTGTGTCAACCTGAAAGGCGGCCCTCCGACCTGGAGCGACACTGATGTGCCGGTACTGCCTGGCCACAGGCCTTGGTGCCTGCAGCCCGTACCTCATCAGGGTGACCTTTGACGTCAAAGAAGACGGTCAGCTGCTGCCTGATACATTCCTTAACGGCTTCCTGCAGAGTTGGGACCCTCTCTCCGTGGAATCGCTCCCTGGTTGTTTCCAAAAACCACACAAACATTTGTTTTTTTTTCTTTTATGTACTTGTGGCCCCATTTATTCTGATTTAAACCCTTAAAACTCTTCACTCGCCTCTGGCAGCATCTATTAACAGGTGTCTCTATATATAAAAAGGTTAGCATCTTCACAACAGCAAAACCAACAAATCTGAAGACAGTACATTTTATTTACTTGGCAGACCCTTTAATACAAAGCGACATACATTTTTTGTGAGACCAGAGCCAAGCCAGTGTTGAAGCAATTGGGGTTAAGGGCCTTGCTCAGGGGTGCAATGGTGACATCACTTTGCTGACCCTGGGATTTAACCCAACAGCCTTCCGATTACAGACATAGTGTCCTAACCTGGTGAGCCATACACTGCTCACTGCCCACTACAAATTTGTTAACGTTCTTTTGTGCCAAAATCCTGTATTACAGGCTCATCTGCTCGCTTTCTGGAAGATTTCTGCATTCTTTCTGTCTGCATCACATATAGCAGGAATATCGCTCTGTTTCCGGAAATTTCCGTAGCTTACAGACTATTCAGACTGATCACGACAGCTACAGCAAAGCTGGCAGTAGGATGGCTATGAAGCACATTCCCTCCTCCCTCCGCTCACCTGAGTCTGTGCTTGGCAGAGGCGTCCAGCCTGCTGACCTCAGAGAAGCGCAGCACGCTGAGCAGACCCGAGCCGTTGGTGGTGCGGTCGACGGTCTCGTCGCGCATCACCACGGGGACGCCATCGGCTGTGAACTCCAGGTCCAGCTCCACCCCGGTGGCGCCGTTCAGACGGGCCTGGGGAGGTGCGAGGGAGACAGAGGTGAAGGCAAACCAGGAAAAATACAAATGCAGGAGACACCATAACAAAATGGCCACGCAGTCCAAGGCAATTTCAGATTTCATGCTTCCTGTCTGCATCAAACTTCTGTATGTATTTCCTTTCATCTCTGTTTTCCCTTCAGAAATAAAAGGCGATGCTGCTCTACTCCTCCCTGTCCACTCTGAGCAGCCCGGACGCTCTATCTTCACCTCGCTTTTGACCCTCTGCTTCTCTGCTACTCCCGTCTTCCTGTTCACCCATGCTATGTGATGACCAATAGAGGGCGCGCTTGTCCACTAGATCCCGTGGCCGTCACTCATATCGCTGGTCATCAGACATTGTGGTGTTTTTTGAATATGAGCTTAACGGCAGTAAGTGTCAGTGTCCTGCTGCTGTACCTGTGGGGAAGGTATTTAAGCTGAGCCATCCAGTAACATCCGATCAGCTGTGAAAATAAATGTTATCTGCCGTGAGAAACTCCACAGATCAGATCTATCATCTTGCCTGCCGGGTACCTCCTCTGGTCTGCAGCATCTTCAGTCTGCGCCGCGTGCCTTAAAGGCGCACCTTGTTCTCCTATGTAGCCTCTCCCACCAAGGCTACACTTATGAAGTGATTAATTGTAACTGCACACCAAAACCTTGCAGTTATTTGAATCCAAGTGATCTTCTTGCATGCGAATTTCAGGTTTTGGGCAGCGTTAGCCTGCACCTAGCTGTGAATGATGGCACCGAACCAGTGCAAGGCGAGGGTTGGGGTGTGAGGGACTCCAAATGCAGTAAAATGACAACCTGGTGCTAAGTTTTACACGGCAATTTGTGAAGAAATGGAAAACTACAGTAGCACGGTTTAAAAACCACAAGCCACAAATTAGTCGTCGTAAATTAGCCGGTGTGCGATGCAGTGCCGTAGATATAAGATAATGAGATTTCCTACATTCTGTAGCAGAAGATGGACATTCTACACAATGTCATAGCGATGGAGCGACAGAGCTGACGATCACGACGGGCATTACTGTGCTTTTGTGGAAACTGTCCACAGATCCATCTTTGACATCTGGCTGTACCCTTGTCCTTCACTCACCTCCCGGATCGCTGCAAGGGTGTTCTCAGGAGCATCGTGTCCCGCTCCTCGGTGCGCCACCACCGACACGCCGCCGCTGCCGAGCCTGGTCGGCCGTAGCACCTGCTTCGCTCTGTCAGCCGGAACTTGCGGGTAGCGGAAAATCACCAGGAAAACGTAGAGCGATGCGGTGAAAAGGGATGAGCAAACGGCGCTCCTGGATGCGAACAGAGTCAGTACGAACACCACGGAGAAGCAGGATAGCTCGTCTCCGATCTGAAGCATATTTACAGCTGTGTATGGCGGAAAGCCGCCGACTGCGTTTCGGCGCTCCCGGATCAGCAGCTCCCGGTACCGGCGTCCGGAACGGCGCTGTGACGGAACCGGAGGCGGAGCGCTGCGATTGGTCAGACGCTGGACGATCCGGAGTCAGTCCGCTCTGACACAGGGGCGCAACACCTGTTTCACAGCGACTGTATCCCAAATGACCGGTATGGGGGGCGTTATTGTAGCAAAATTATTTGCGAATGTGTATGGAGAGTTGTATGGCTGTAAAAAGTCTTATACCCTGACGATGTTCAAGCCCTCAAAACCTCCGGGCACAGACAGATCTCCACACGCATTTGCAGATCTGCCAGGCCGGCAGAAGCGTAGCAAGAATCACAAAAGACTAAGATCCGCCTGAGTTGTAACGAATGACTTGTTTGCATTTACAGCTCTTGGAGCAAAATATTTAGACTTTTCAGCCATAAATAGCTAAGTACGCATTTACAGATTTTCCCGCACACGTACGAATCTCGTTTATATTCATAGATTCTTTTACAGGTTTACACACACGAATTCCTGTACATATTAGGTAACACATTCCTATACACATTTGCAAATCTCAGTACGCATTTACACATTCTTTTACACTTTTACAAATCTAACTACATACACGCGGTCTGAGATACAGTCACACAGCTCTCCACATACATTTGCAAATAATTTTGCTAAAATAACAGCCTGTAGACCGGCTTCTCATGCCGATCCCGTCACGCCTTCATTAATACTTAACAATGTACGCTTATGTAACAGGATGAAAATCAGTTACCCCATAATTGGTGTATATGTATTTATGTGTGTGTATATATATATATTTTTTTATTTCCTTTCTCCTTTTTCCTCCTCGATCCTTGTTTATCCACATTCATACGTGTATTAGTTCAGACTCCCTTCCACTAGGGGGCGCTGGACCACGAGTGTTGGGTAGAGCAATAATCCCGCCCAGGAAATTCATCATGAATCCTGCACGGAAGCACTGTCGCTTAAACGCGTGCTGTTTTTCTCTCCCAACACAGGTTAGTAAATATCTGGGTTTAATAGTCACATATACCCAATATCAGATGTGAATACCATCCCCATTTATTATATCGCTTTATTAATTTGTTCCGAGTTGTGGTTTAAAGCTAAAAATATATCTTTTTGTTCGGTAAATGCTAAGCGCTAGTTAGCGGTAACAAGCCATCCGTCTCTATATAGCATGGTTAGTTAGGCCTTTAAATAAGTGGGTTTATTCATTAATAACATGCAAACTTATATTTGTTTTTTTTTGTATGCCTCATTGGTTGTGCTGTCTCTAGTGTATGTTTATTTTATCCTTTGTGAATGGGTCAGTGCGAGAAAGAAACGCAGCCCCATATCGGTCTATATCTTAGGGGTGGTTATTTGCAAGCACCTCACGATACGATACGTATCACGATACATGGGTCACGATGCGATTATATTACGATATATTGTGATGCTATGCATATTGCGATATATTGAGATATTCTACAGTTCACTGAAAATGTAAAAATAGAGCTGAAATGCAAGTTGCTGTGTACGATCTGGGTGGTCTTAATGAATCACATTACATTAATAATTCAGCCAAAACAACATAACATAATTGAATTTTAACTTTATCGTCTTTGCATTTTAACACATTGAACTAGTGGACACCAAAAAGTTAAGATAAAGTGCATAAGATTGAAAATAAGAAATTAAAGTGCCCAGTCAGTTATCTAAGGCTTGTGTGGTGCATGTAGAGGACTGAGCTGAAATGTGAACATATAAAAAATAAAGTGCATATGCACACAGACACTCCTTATCCTGAGTGAACAGCCTGATGTAGGAGGAAAAACTGTTGTTATAAAGAAAATAAAACAGACATCAGTATGATGTTAATAAACTGTAAAAATACTGTAAACCAACTCAAATGTTGTTTGCATGTGTCCACTATACTTTAAAAATAAACATGGATACAAAAACAACATGGATACAATGGTAGACCTATTTTGACTTCTAATTTTTGTTAAGGAATAGAATTAAAAAAATTATATCTTGTATCTTGTAATTTTTGTTAAGGAATAGAACTTGATGAGGATGGTCTGGCGTGAGTGCACTCCTCTGAGCTGTAATAATGTCCCCCGCGGGAGAGAGAACTCGCTCAGAGGAGACACTAGTTCCTGGGATACACAGGTATCTCTCTGCAATGTGTGACGAGAGAGGGTACTGGCTTTCATGTGCTTTCCACCAGTCCAGTGCACTGACACTGAGAGACAAGGGAGCTTCCTCTCTACATCTTGCCATCTCCTCCTTTGCCTGGTCCTCTGCAGTTTTCAATTTCTTTGTCGATCCTGTGGCAGAGTAGGACAGCACAATAAATCAGTATCAGAAATGTCACAATAAAATATCAGTATAAACACATTATTTGTTTACAGCATCAGGCATTGAGTGACTTTGTCCGACACTCTTTCATCACAGGCTGCTAGTGAATCGCAATTTTTTAAAGCCGACTTAACACATTTTTCAGACACGTTTATGATGAAACATAATGGAAATTCTTTTTTTCCAGTGACCTTTAAAGTGTTATCAATCTAACCTGCAGCATATGTTTGACCAAGCAGGTCAGCTAGAGAGCAGGAATGCCTGGATCTCTTAGATGGTACTGTAGAGATATCTTCTTGCCGAGGACCATGATTGCCGTCCATGTCTTTTATATCAGTTTCTGTCTCTTCAGTCTCCACTCCTGTCTCACTCTGCTGCGAAACAGCAATGCATCAATATTAGCTTTAGAGAATTAGTAAATATAGAATCCAAATGCCAATTGAATTAAATTGACCAGACTTGTCATATTTGTCTATCATTCACCAGTATTTATGATTTTTAAATATGGATGATTCTTAAATGGATGGAAATTTAAAATGTTTATAGAATGTAAAATGTTCACAGTAGTTACATATTTTAGTTGTTTATCTTATCTGTAGTGTCTCCTCGCTCCTTGCAGCTTCTGAAATAATTCTAGCATACGTGTCTTGGCCTGGTCCTCTGTGAGGAAGGCAGGACCTTAAACCTTGGATCTACAGCTGAGGCTACATAGTCTCTTGTTCGTCCAAGTACCTCTTGTTAAGATCCTGGCATATGGCAGATTTGATTTCCTTTACGAAGTTGGAATCATTTGGGCTGTCTTGTAGATCATGGATCAGCTGGGCATGGAGTGGAGCTGAAACTGGTAGTGTTGGGGTGGTCTCTTCCGACATAACCAGTGTAGCTGGCTTCATTGGCTTCATGGCAGTGACAGCTTCTTCAGCAGCTGTCACGTCTGACTGGCTGAGTGTGCAGATCTCCTCTGTCTTCCTCACTTCAGCTGAGAGGAGGGCGGCATGGATTGCTGGCTGTTGTTCTAAAAAGCGCTCCAGCAAGTCATGTGCACCATTCTACCTGGTAACAATGTCACTGAGCAATTTGCGTTGAGGCAAGTTCAGCAACTTTTTGTTTTTCCCGCAGTAAATGGCTGGCTGTGGTGCAGCGTTTGAAAAAGCTGCTTATTCTTCGAATCCTTCCCAGCAATCGGGCGACTGATGGTAGCTTTAGCGCAGGCTGTGAAGCTAAATTCAGTGTGTGAGCAAAGCATTTAAAGCGCAGCATATTGGCCAGCTGCAGTGGTCATGTTTGTCGCATTGTCTGTTACCATGGCAGAGCCCTTGCCTTTTATGTCCCATTCCTCCACTGCCCCTTTCAGTAGCTCAGTGATGTTAGCGCCAGTATGGCTCTCATGCATTGTCCTCGTCTGCAAAACATGGGAAATGAGTTGCCAATCCTCATGTATGTGGTGCGACATGATCGTAACATAAGATTCAGTGGCTCGCGAAGTCCAGCAATCACACATAAGAGAAGAGATTTTGTTTAACTTAATTTTTTAACTTGCGTTACCTCCTCGTACATTCTGGGCACAGCTACCTCTGTGATGTGTTTGCGAGTTGGGATCGCATTGCGCGGCTCCAGGGTGTTGACCATGTACCCAATGCTGGCGTTTTCTACCACGCTATAGGGGTGCAAATCCTGACAAATAGAATGCACTACCGATTCTGTATTTTTTTTAGCGCAAGGCGAGGTGGATGGGAGTTTGGCTTTATAGGTTGAAGGGGCCGCTCCAATGACAAGCCCTCGGTCTGCCATGTTTTGCGATTTCACTCTGCCAGAAATGCCAAGCGGTAATTCAGAGTACCTAGCCGTACAGCGACATCTACAGGAGTTGAGATTGTAGTTGTAGGAAATCCCAAAACGTCTAGCTGTATTTTGCATGATTCTCCCCCTCGGAAATATCGATTTTTGGAGCTAGAAATCAATATAGTATATCATGAAAGGAAATATCGGAATATATCGACGGATCAGTTTTTTTGCACATCCCTACTATATAAATGTATCTGTTTTCTCATTTGAACTGTGAACATGTGTTGTTGAATACACCACAGGGTTATTGTAATCTTTTCATGAGAATAATTGAAATTTAATTAATGTTTACATATCTATAACAGTATTACAATATTTATATACTGTTTTGCCGATATATTGCGGTTTTTTTTTGTATTAAGCTATTAAGTTTGAGAAGTGATTGAGACATTGATGATGAATAAATCCTGCACAGAAGCACTGTCGCTGTTTTTCTCTCCCAGCACAGAAATCTGTCGCCTTATTTCCTTTTCTTTTTTTTGGAGTACATTGGTCTAGCCTTGCAGCTGGGTTGGTTATACTTACCTAACAATCCCTTTAATCGTCACTATGAAACAGGCAGGTCTGACTATGTGTGCACTTCAAAGCTGTCAAAATCTAATTTATTAAAGTCCATAGCGATGATAAATGACGCGTGCTGAAAACTGGAGAGAGGGAACATCAAACCCCAGCCAGGTAGTTCCTTATGAATTAGATGACCAACATCACCTGCGTCAATGTTCCACCCTGCAACACAAAACAGCCCAACAGGAGGCAGTGATGGGCAGGCCCTTAACACCTCCCCCCTTAAAGACAGAGGCCCTATAAGGACCTCTGTACATGCAGAACATCATAACATGGATGCGTGTTGGAACATCACCAAACAATGCAGGAAACTCAAAAACCAGATGTTTCCACTGCTCACACTTCTCCTCAGGCGAACGGCAGAGGAGAGCCCCCAAATCGGGCAACATCTCGGAGTTCTGAAGGTGAGGCTGGAAAATGGAGGCGTCAGGAGCGCAAACATCCTCCTCACGGCATGCTGCCGCCATGCTAGGAGACTGTACCACCTCACAGACCGATGACAGTCCTACGGGGGAGCCGGGGGAACACCTTCCTCCCAGTCCCTGTTCAATTCAGTGCAATAGGCATGGAGCAATGACTTCAAAGTCTGGTGCCAACGTTCTAGGGCCCCCTGACTTTGAGCGTGATGAGCAGTGCTTTGCTGATGCACAACACCTAACTGACGTACAACCTCCTTAAACCCCTATCTGTCTGAAGAATCTTCGGTATGCCGGAGATGGAAATAAATTGTGACAATGCCTTTACTACAGACTTGGTGGTAATAGTCCTCAAGGGATATGCTGCTGGGTAGGGGGTACACTGACACATAACGGGCAGTAGACAAACCCAGACTTCGAGGGATACAATGGACCCACACAGTCTACAATTAAGTATTCAAAAGGTTTGCCAACAGATGGTATCGGATACAAGGGGGCCGGTTTAATAACCTGATTCGGCTTTCCAGTTAATTGACAGGTATGTCAAGTCTTAATAAAATAGGCTACATCCCATCTCAAACAAGGCCAGTAATAGTGGCGCATTACCCGCTCATACTCCTAGGTGACCAGACAGCTCACCATGAGCAGCC